TAAGTGCTGTAGTTCAGATTTGGTAGTGGGGAACAACTTCTGATATCTGTTTTTACTCATTAGTGAATACAATTGCACCTTATTGTCTTTGTAAACTACTGTTATTAGAAACTCTAAGCAGATACATCACTGGGGAGAGAGGAAGAGAAGAAATGCAAGATTGCTTCTCTTTCTTCTCCTGAGTAGTGTGGTCAGTTCTAACACATGCAGGTCACTTGTGGCTTTGTATTTGGAAGTGTATATACTCTAGTAATTGGGTGGCAGCTGGATTTTAGAATAGAAGGCCTTACTAATGAGAGGGTCTTCTTAGCCTTTTTTAAAGGGTTAGCAGCTAACACAGTAACTGCCTACAGGGTTTGTCTCCGTGAGTGTGTGACATGATTACAATATTCAGTTGTCCTCCCTGGCAGAATAGTAATACAAATAATACTTTTGACTGTCTTTCATGCAAAGCCAGGACTGGCTGCTCTAGATATGGTGAACACTCAGTTCCAGCCTTATGTAAGATGAACACTCCATGGTAGTGATGTTCTGACTGTTGGCTTGTTGGTCTGTCTGGAGGAGAGAGGGGCTACAAGCAGAGGACTTCTCCCACCTTTGCCTCTAAGGCAAGTGAGAACTTAGTTCTGACGGTGCTCAAGACTGCTGATTAGTGTTGCTTGTTTTTTAACTGCTTATATCATGGAAGGCTCTGCTGCCTCTCAGAGCTGTGCAGCTTCCAGTTTACCAGGTGTTCCATTTTAATCAGGGCAGTCAATTCCCTAACAGTTTATAAAAGGCCTTAAGTGAGGAAGTAATCAACACTGTCTATTATAGCAAGAATAGGATTTGCAATCAAAGAGTGACATGACTAATGCCATTGAAACATTATTACACTGGCAGCTTCATATTCTCAGGCTGTATACCTCAAATTGGGCATGGGGGAAAGGAGTGTATTACATCATATGGCACAGGTAGTGCAAGGTTATTAAATTGCCAGTTTGCTGCAGAGCAAGCCCAGATAATAAAATGAGTGGGGTCCTCGTCCATCAGCTTCAGTTAACTCATACTGTTGTCCCGAAGCTCACCCCAATGATATGCAGGTGTGTGAGCAAAGTTCAGGCAAAACTGAATGCTGAAAAATATCACAGAATCTGTTCCCTGAAGAGGGATCTCCTGAGCTGAAGGAAAAGCTATTTTGAGCAATCTGATATACACAAGAGTGTTCCAGGAAACTACTCCCATTCAAACTTGTATCTAATTATAACCCCCAACTCCTTTCATTCTCATAAGAAATACTTTGTCTTATAACATTTAGTAAGGTCATAGGATAATTCAGGTTGGAAGAGAAATAATGTACCAAGAATTATGATATCTCTCATAAGGGCATGTTATATGGGATGGAGATGTTGCCCCTTTTATTGATTCAATAAGGTGAAAAGAAGACAATGAAACCTCACCCAGGATAAAATGCTTTCTGAATACAGTATAATTTTCTCTTTCCTTCCCTCCAGGATATGTACATGATTTAATTTATTCCATATATTTCCAAGTAATCAGCCAGTTTTGTTAGAGAACAGGGGAGTTTATCACTGAGGGAGGTCAGCTTTTATGGCTGGAAGTGATTCATGAATTGGAGTCACATCCATGCTCCCAAATGACACATTTAGGAATTGTATAAAGGGCCAGGCTTTGAAAATGTTACAGTTCCAAATGGGGGGGGGCAAAAAACTGCAGTCAAATGCATGGAGAAAGAAATATGAAACATTCACTCCCTGTGTCCCTCCCTGAGGCCAGACAGTATAAGACCACCCTGAAGCATTTGTGACTTCAAACCAAAGTGCTGTGTCAAAATACAGTAGGAACATAACTGTCTTCTTAACATTTCTCATATCAGTTAAATATCCACCATTTCTCCATTGAAGGAACACTGTTGTCAGAGTGTGAAAGGTTCACCTAGTGCTAGTTTCCAGAGAACTGTGTTGGAAGTGAGGATAAAGATTATGTATAATAAATGTCAGGTCTCTTAGAAAAAATCTAGATGCAAATGTGGTCTTTGGAATCTGGGTTGGCTTTTACTGAGACTTTTGTTTGTTTCCAGTCTGTTTGTATACTTTGAGAAGTTTGTCAAAATAAAGGTATATTCAGTTATCTGGGACAGTAAGAAGGGACTTATTGATGTAATTACTTTACAGTTCCCTAAAGCCTGTCATTAATTTTTTCACAAACCTGTTGGACATATTAAAAGCTGTATTTGCTGCATTGTTATTCCACACCCCATTTCTGCTCTCAGAGTAGGGTAGAGTAGTTCTGCACAGTCAAAGTACTGAAGGGATTTCAGTATTAAAGCAAAGCTGTATTCAGTGTTTAGCAGTTACTTGGTTACCTTTTATGTGTTTTCTGTCTACTTTGCATTTGTGTCCTCTCCATGTATTCTGGCACTTGGCTTCTTTCTGCCTGGATTCTGGGCCGGAAAAAATGTGGAAGTAACATGCAGTGTTGTGCTATTATATGTGCACATTTCTGGTTATTTACTTTTGGGGCAGGATTGAAAGGTGAGGTCATTATCTCCACTTACCTGTAATGCACACATTGGGTGAAAGGTTCGAGGCCTCTGTCATGGTTCAAAGAGGAATTGAGACAGACATAATGATACTCTTCTGTGTAGGATTCTACATGAGGTCTGTGTCATAGAAACATAGAGTGATTTGGGTTAGCATGCACCTTTGAAGACCATCTAGTCCAACCCTCCTGCAATGAGTAGGGACATCTTCCACTAGATCAGGTTGCTCAGAGCCCCATCCAACCTGTCCTTGATTGTTACCAGGGATGGAGCATCCACCACCTCTCTGGGCAACCTGTGCCAGTATTTCACCGCCCTCATCATAAAAAATTTATTCCTCATATCTAATCTGAATCTACCTTCTTTCAGTTTAGAACTGTTATCATTTGTCCTATTGCTACAGGCCCTACTGAAATGTCTGTCTGCCTCTTTCTTATATGCCCCCTTCAAGTACTGAAAGACCACTGAAAGGTCTCCCCAGAGTCTTCTCCTCTTCAGGCTGAACAGCCCCAACTCTCTCTTGTTGATTCCATTATATATTAATTGTCTGAAGGCTAAACAGAAAACTTCGTATTTATGGTAAGTACATTACCTGTAAAGATTAATCCATAAACAATAGGACAGAGAGAACTGAGGAAACAACAATACTTCTAGAAATTGATACAGGGCTCTTCCTTAAGCCACCAGCTTGAATATTTAGGCATAAAAAAGTATGCCTTTTTTGCTAGTCATGTATGTCTGGTATGATGTTGTGTGTCCCAAATGCTGAGATAAAGGCTACCCACAGCATTTCTGTTGTGTAGGGATTGGGTAGAGAGGTGTTTTGTGGAATAATTTACCTTTACTGTTT